GGGTGCTTGGGGCGGGGGCGCTCGGTGTGGGGCTCAGCCCTGCCTGGCGTGGCCAGGCCGTCCGGGGTCTGTGGCCTGTGCTGTCTCCCTGCCCCGGGAGCAGCGGAGAGGGAGGACTCTAGCGCTCTCTGCTCGCGATGCCCACCAGCCATGTCTCGCCTCTAGCCTCCGCTCCGGACTCGGCTTGAGGGGCAAAGGGGAAAGAAAGGAAAAATAAAGAGAAAAAAGGGCGGGCAGTGAGGAAGCCGCGGGTCTGGCTGGAGGGAGCAGAGCGACCAGGGGTGCCTGGCCTCCTCCTCTGCGGGTCTCGGCGCTTCTTGCCGAAAATGCAAAATGAGCCGTTGGGGGATGGCAGAAAGAGCGTCGAGGAAGAGATGCGGGCGTCTTCTGTTCCCATCCCTCCTGGCCCGCGGAAACCCGGCAGAAGCGGCGTGAGTTCACTCGCTGCGATCCGGGACGAGGTGGGGGAAGGCCGAGGATCGGGCGCCGCCGCCCCGCTGGTGACCTACGGGGCCGTTGCCGGGCGCCCAGCGAGCGGGGACACACACCTGTTCTGCGAGCTGCGTCGTGTGTGGCGGCCGGACGGCAGCGGCGCGAAAAGCAGAACCCTCCCTCTCTCACCCCAGTCCCGCAGTCCCGGAACCGGGACGGCCTGGCTGCCCCGCATTTTCTGGAGCGCCAGAATCCACGAGCCCCGTGCCTGCCCGCCGAAGCGGTGGCGCGCGGCGATGAGACCCGGGTGACCCGCGGGGCGGGGTTGTTCAGGGGCACGAGGTCCTTGGACTTTGATCGAAGGCAGCCTCCCCGCAGCCCGTGTCCCGCGGGCCCTGCCGGGCTGCGGACCAGGGCCCCTCGCACTTGTCCGTTCTTCCCTGGCCGGCGCCCTCGTTCCCCAAAGTTACAAGCAGCTTGTTTCGTGCAGAGGTTGTTGGGACCTAAAGTACTCTTTGTGCAATAGCATAGCAGCGGAGAGCTGGAGGGAGAGGTCAGGCCAGGGAGTGGTGGGCTCGGCTCTGCGTTGGCCCCAAGTTTTTGTAGGTTTCGCCTTCACCTCGCCTTCTTCCGTTTTCCTTAAAAGAGTTGGTTTTCCCCGGTTAAGACTCCTACCGGCTGAATTCTGCACCCGCTCAGCTGAGCTGGCAGCCCCGCAGCCCCGCACTCTTCCACAGGCCGGGCTGTTTCGGATTCTCACCCGTTGGCCAAGTCGGGCCTGGGTCGGGGTCCAAATCTGGGACCGATACTCGACCACGTCTGAATCGCAGGCGTTGGCCCCAGCCCGTGGAATCGTGTTAAGCTTATGCTTCCTAAGCTCTTGCATATGGTGGTAAAATTTCTGTTGGAGCGGTGTTTCCAAATACCCCCTGGGCATTTGGTGTGCGGGAATTCTCTTCAAGTGAAGAAGTCTGTGAACTTAAAAAAAAAAAAAAAGAATTCTTTCCTGAGTTCTTCACAACCCCCCACCACCCTGGCCCCATTTCCCATTGTTCTTTGCTTTTTAAGTTGCCTGTTAATTTTTTAAAAGTTTATTTATGCAAAGGAAAAATATCGTTTAATTTGTTCTATTATTTTAATTCCTGGCTTTTGGAAACGGTTCAGAGACCACAAAAATGTCACCTGTTGTAATAAGCAGGGGAGTGTTGTGTGTGCGTTTTAATTGCCAGCAGAGTCGTAGTTTGGTGAGCTAGGGCTCGGGGAAAGAGGCTTTGCAGCTTTTCTTTGTGGCAGTCATTTGCAAGTGGGTTTGGCTCCCAGCAGCGGCAGCAGCGCCGCTTCCTTCTGCGCGGATCCCGGCGCGGGTCAGGAAGCCCAGACCCTGGACAGGGATGGTCAGAGGCTGGGGTGGGAGATTGCCCACTCTCTGAGACTTTCTTTCTGGCTTTCGGTTTTTCAGTGCGAAAGTGGCTAGCTCGCGCCGGAGAGCGCGGAGCGCTGCGCACCAGCCCAGCTTCAGACATTTTCACGTTCGGAACGCCAGCCTCTTCGTTTCATTTGTCTTGGTTCTGGCATGTTTAACCACGCAATTAGTAATCTCACTAATTATTCAGTTAGCTGGCGTTTTGTAATCACTTTAAACCAGGGTCGGGTGTGTGATTTAACAAACAAACAAACTCCCACGCATACAGACCTGAACCAAACCCATCACGTCAAGGATTTGAAATTTTTAAAACTCAATATTTGTTGGTCCCTCCGTCCAACCTCACTGCCTGCCAGACAATTTATTTAGCTTCGTGAATTGATCCCTCCTCCTTGTTTAGTTAATTCAACAAAGACTTTTTGCAGTCTGTTTGGAGTTTGTCTGATGCCGTGGAAAAGTAGCTGATGATTTATTTGGTTGCTTTTCGATTTCTGTCTTCAGCCCTTCTTTCTCCTCCTTTCAGAGGGGATGTCAGCTGTTATTACTTCCTATTGATCCCTTTGCAAAGTGAGAAGTGAACTAAAATTAATGTCAATTCCACTGCTCAGATCAATAGCTGGAGTTATTTTAATCTGGATTTGCACGAAGTGCTAAATTAAAAAAAATCAGCATAGAGGCAGAAAAGTAACAGTTACTTACTTTCCCTTTGCCTGGTTCTTTACAGTCACCCAAATGCTCCATCAAGCTGATTATCTTACAATCCATATTTTTTTAATTAAGAGGGTCAGTTAGTTTTCTTATTTTGGGTTCTGTGTTTAAACCCATGACATTTTGACATTGGGAGTGTATTAACTATAGATTTTCATAATGACTGTGGTCTGCTGAAGCCTCATCTATACAAGTTGTTAATGTGAGGAGGGGGTAAGAAAGAAAAGGAAAAAGAAAAAAAACTTCTCCCCCTTCCCCCACAGAGACCAACGCCCACACAGTGGAGTATAAGAGATGTGGCCTGGAAAAATATTGTTGATTTATTTTCAGTATAATGAAGTTTCAAATGAATAACCAGGTTTGAGTGATTCACCGTGTTCTGTTGGAGTGTCCGGTGCTGTCGCCAGATTACTAATTTATGAAACTCATTTAACATAATGAGGCGATCCAGGAAGTAAAAATAGAAAGTGAATTCTCTGGGCAATTGGTTATTTGGGGGGAAAACATTCATCCCCTTACACGAGTGTATTATGTTCCTCCTTTTCTCCTGCTTGCCTCAGGTAATAGTGCTTGTTGAAAGATAAGTAGTTAGTTATTTCTGTTACGAAGAGCTACTTTAGAACCCTTGGAACAGCCCTAGACCCACTCTTAGAGCATCCATGTTGTGTGACCATTAATCTGACTTGAAAACAGCCAAGAACAGGATTCCCAGACCAGACTTGTCGGGCTCACTGGCTGTCCTTGGCAGATCATTCCCTGCACTGCTATAACTTGACAGGAAAGTTATTTAAAATTTGGAAGAGAGAAAAATCCGTTAATGTGAGATACATAATCTGGTAATTTAGCAATGATGTCTATAAGGAGAGATGCCAAATGAGGAAGCAGTCTGATGGTGTGCACTCATCTTCCCAATTAATAACAGTCATTGACATGTCTGCTACAGGATGAGAGAAGGAAATACTCTCTTTGCACTGCATTAAGCCAAGGGGATTCATCTGCAGTTTAACTGGGGCTTCTCTATTTGAGGGAATACCATAGACACTCCATTATCTAGGGGTGTGTGTGTGTGTGTGTGTGTGTGTGTGTGTGTGTGTGTATTAAGGGAGGAGATAAATTCTTATTTGAGACATGATTCTCAATATAAAGGTTCTAAGTTGTAGTAGATGGTGGTTTTTGGTTTACACTTTGAGTTTCATTAAGTTTCTATCTAGTGTATATTTTTGAAGCTAATAAATCCTAGTCATCTTATGTTATTCTGACTTCTGATATATAGCCCTCCTCCCATGCCCCCAGCCCCCTTCTCAAAATAAATTTGGAAATGGAATCAGTGGCTATAGGAAGGCGCAACCTAAATTTAAAAGGGAAATTGAAAGAAGTCTCTCCGAACTCCAATTTGTTCCAGGGACCTTTATCAGGCATCAACTCTGACTGGGCCAATAAGCTGAGCAAAATAAGTCAGAAATTTTGTTAACATTTTGCTCCAAATGTTAATGGCAAATTCAAGGCTGTTTACAAATCTACTTAGGAGTGAGTGCGTTAGTAACTAAAATTACCGATCCGTTCTTTGCTGCCCCTGGAAGACAGCCGCTTCTAGAGAACATATGCCAAAGGCACCCATTATGGTTTTAAATATTGTCAGAGATGCCTGGCATTTTATTGATGAAGGTTTTGTTCCTTTTCGGAAAAGAGAAAACCTGTATGATTAGAGAAGGGGTGTGCATCAAAAATAGCATTTCTGTTGTTTCTTCACATAGCACTTCTTTCTGGGAACCGTCTTAGATGATACATGAAGATGTGTGTTTATGTATGTGCCAATGTGTGTGATTTATCCACATGTACAATTTGCAACAGCTAACACGTACAGATGGTCTAGATGTGCTTGATTTAGGAATTTTTCAGCACCAGGGCATTGTTAGGGGAGATGAAGAGGGGATGTGTTTGTGTGTGTATGTGCGGGGGGGGGGGGGGGGGGGGGGAGTCATGTAGGTAGAGCCTTGCCTCTCTTTGAACATCAGGCCTGCCATGGGTGGTGTACGCAGGTGGAAGCCCTTTAAAATAAAGACCCCACCCAATCTACTGGGTGACTTGGCCTTCCAAAGCTCATTTGTTCAGGGAATATTGTATTTGGAGGTTTTATGGTTTTTTTTCCTTTGCTGGGCTCAGGCGCATTTCACCCGGAACGTGTAGGGACCAAAGTCAGCTACGCGTACATCACAGTAAGTTGTCTATTGATTTTCCTGAATGAAAATGGTCTGATGCTGCTGCCCACTGGCTCCTAAAGCCTGTGGTGTCTCTTGCCCGAGCATCTGTAAGCCAGAAGGATGGTGTTTCGATCACTTGGGGTTTCCCTTTTTTTTCTCCCCCTGACCTTCCTCCTCCCCCCCTTTTTTTCTCTTTGCTGTTTCCACAGGTCTTAGAAGGGGATGATTCCCCAGTAATATTCCCTGCCCTGATCCAAGGTGCCGCTCGGCCTCCCTCCCAGGGAAGACTGCTTCTTGTGTGACACCAGCCATAGAAAGAGACTCCGATGGACTTACACCGGGCAGCCTTCAAGATGGAGAACTCATCCTACCTCCCCAACCCACTGGCATCCCCAGCACTGATGGTCCTGGCGTCCACGGCTGAGGCCAGCCGCGATGCTTCCATACCTTGTCAGCAGCCACGACCCTTTGGTGTACCTGTCTCAGTAGACAAGGACGTGCATATTCCATTCACCAACGGTTCCTATACCTTTGCCTCTATGTACCATCGGCAAGGTGGGGTGCCGGGCACTTTTGCCAATCGTGATTTTCCCCCTTCTTTACTACACCTCCACCCTCAATTTGCCCCTCCAAATCTAGATTGCACCCCAATCAGTATGCTGAATCATAGTGGTGTGGGGGCTTTCCGTCCCTTCGCTTCCACTGAGGACCGGGAGAGTTATCAGTCAGCCTTTACGCCCGCCAAACGACTTAAAAACTGCCATGACACAGAATCTCCCCACTTGCGCTTCTCAGATGCAGATGGCAAGGAATATGACTTTGGGACACAGCTGCCATCTAGCTCCCCCGGTTCACTTAAGGTTGATGATACTGGGAAGAAGATTTTTGCTGTCTCTGGCCTCATTTCGGATCGGGAAGCTTCATCTAGCCCAGAGGATCGGAATGACAGATGTAAGTACTTTGGTGCGAGCCCTCCCTACCCCCACCAAGCCCTGCCTTACATTAGTGTCCAACAGGTCGGTGGCTGTTTTCATGCTCCTAGTAGTGGGAAGGGCCAACTGCTTCCCACTCGATGGCTGTGGAGTGTGAACACTTATTTGTCTCTTGTCAATGAGCATTGACAGTTCTGGTAGGAAATGTTTTTCTGAAGGTAGCCAAAGGCAGTTTGGCCTCCACACTGCCTCTCTCCAGGGGACTCTGGAGTGAAGAGGGGTGCCATATATATACTGGAGTGACTATCATTTTATTAGAAAGTATAGGTTTCTAGGAAATTTGGGGGGGCCTGAATAAATTCATCCATCCCTCCAGTCTTTGCTGTCCTCGTTATGTGTCTCTGATCTTGGTATTATATTTTAGCTTTTCTATTATATTACATCTAGTGGACTCCACGTGATTTTATTTTCCCAACTCTCAGCCCTTGTCCACATCAGGCTATTTTTCAGAGAAGGACAAAGGTGTCGTCAATCACCATAAAGCATTTCAAACAGCTGTGTTTTCCTTGCCATCGCAAGGCTAGAAAGCCCACTTCTCTTGGGATTTAACAGGTTTGCTGGATGCTTATCCTTGGGCTCACTTTTAGGACTAGACACGGTTGACCTGTGTGACTGCTCCATATTTGATGTTCACAACTGTTATTAATTTTTGCTTATGGAACAGCTTTCTTGTGTTCTCCAAGTGCCTTGTTGAGCTTTGGCTACCCTTGGTAATAGTTGGAACTAAACCTTTATTTGGAACTTGTAGACCAGGAGTGCTGAGCCCTGCGATCCTCTCCTAATAGAATCAGAAAATAATTGTGTTCTGATGCTTTTGGGCTGTGGGGAGGCAGAGCAGTTTTCTTCAAGCCTGGTGAGAATTTATGAACTGAGGGTGTTTTTCCACCCAACCCTTTGTTCTAAGATTTGCTTCATTTTATTTTCTTAAGAAAACTACATCTGAGGTTTGCTTTCCCCTCTTCTCTATTTTTGTGCTCCTGTCCTCTCTATAACCACCAACACGAATACCATTTTTTTTCTCTTCTCTTTATGATGCCGAGGAGAGTAATAGAGACATTGCAGCTCTCTCCCCTGTCGGCACTGCTTCCTCAGGCTGTCTCCTTGAATTAGGCACTGTGTTAACTTTCCTGCGCTAAAAGGCATCTGCCTAAACCCAGCGTACCTTTTCAATGAAAGTCATCATAAAATCAACCTGCCTTGTAAATCCATCGCTCTTTGGTTTTGAAATATGTTGCAAGTGTGTCTTTTATGTCAGCGTCTGTAAGCCCGAGACCTCCCCACTTAAGGGAGAAGCTGCTGTATGCCAGCACAAGTGCCCGCGTGTTCTCACTTCGCTTCAGCTCCTTCCACCGGCTCCCCTTCTGGACAGCTGACGTGTGTGTTATACCATCTTGGTTTTTGGGTATACCTCCCGAACGTGCTGGCGTTGTGCTGGTCTGTTTTGTTTTAACTTCAGTGCAGTTTTCATTTGTCAATGTGCAAGTGATCAAGGCTAGCTGTAATCTGACCTCTGGCTAAAGCTGCCCTGGGTGAGGGTGTGACAGATCCTACCCCCTTTCTCTCCAAATACAAGTTGAAAATGAAATCCTCTCAAAACTAATATGCTACAAAGTAACATCTGGAGATCAAGATTCCTTTCTTCTCTCCTCACAGATCCAGCTTGTCTCCATTTTTCTTTCTTTTTAGCCCAAACCTGTGTCAGACCCCCAGAGCAGAAGGAAGCTTGTTAGTCAAGTCAGAACTCATAGATGTGGCTATCCATTCACTCTCCGAGTGTCAAAGCCATAACTCTTCTGTTTGCCTGGTTTGCATTGTGTGGTGGTGCCATCCCCCATGGAGATGGATCCCTCACACAGGAATACGCCTGGGTGGAGAAAAATTAAATGAGTCTATCTCCCAAAGTGAAATGGAATTCTGACCTTGAAATTAATGAGATTCTGATCAGAAGGTGGGGAAACTTCTTTTTTTCAAACTGTAGTGTTATATACATTGGAGCCCTTTCCCCTTCTATTAGTTTAAAATATTCTTCCTTTAGAGAGTACTTTGTGTTCTCTTTTCTCTGTTACACAAACGTAAAACCTTTAGGCGTGTCTGTGAGTGTAGGGTGCTTGCACACCCACCTTATTATCGAGAGTTGCATTTGTGACTAATCTTTAACAAGAAACAAAGGTGCAAAATGAACAGGAGCCTCTTAGCCTGTGATCCAGGTCTCCTTCCTTCTTTTTTTCCCTTAGGTGGCATAGCAGCCCTCACAGAGATGTACTGGGTAGCATTTGTTCATTTGATTTTGAGTTTGGGGAAGGTGGGAGAAACAGTTTTCTGTAGGGAAGGGTTGGAGAAGCACTGTGACAAAGTCTCCAGCAGCTTTCTGGGCTCCTGTCATATGCTGACGTGTGTCGGAATATTTATGGTCTGTTTTATGTAAATACATATTTAAGGGCCGTTAGAAGGCCTGATTATTCCCACTAGATGCCTTTCAGGTCCTCCCTACAGAACCGTTTTGAAATAAGTAATATTTCTCAGATAATCGAGTGACAGTGTACAAGACTGCTTCCAAAGGGAGAGCTTAAGGGGCAGATGGGGCAGTGAGGGGGATGGGGAGGCTAGAAGAGAGATTAGAAAGTGTTCCAAAGAGCCAAGTCATAGGATGCAGTGGCTTTTGGTCAGATTGCCAAAATTAACCATGTATATTCTAGTTTTTTATTCTTAAAATTTAGAGTTAATTTCTTATGTGGTTGACTTATTTTTCAATTCTCTTCATATAAATAAATTTTCTCATAAAATGTAAAAAAAATGTTTTAATTAAATACAACAGTAAAACTCCTAAATAGGCACTTAGCTTTAGGGGTTTTTTTCAGGGACAGGGGAGTGGATATGGGGATGTGTGTGTGTGTGTGTCCTTAGAGTAGAAGTTTTATGACTGAGTTTTAGGTCAATGAAAAATCAGTTTTACAGTGGAAACACTGACAGTTTTTACTGTCGCATTCACCCCATGCTCACACACTGCATCCATATGCAGATATGTCCACATGTGAGAGCATTTGAAAGAGGGGCCTGCAGACATGGTGTAATGCACACGTGTGCATGCCTTAAATCTGGGTACTGATAGGCAGGATTTGTGATGTGATTAAATATGCATTTTTGTACTGAAATGTAGCTTTTTGGGTAAAGTATTGTCTCTCCTAGTAGATGATTCCGGTTTGCTTGCCTGTTCGTCTACCTGGCATCACAGGTGATTCGTGAGGTAGGTGTTGGGTTCTGTGGAAAAAAGGAAGCCTTGACCCGACAGGACTGACTTATTTGCCCTGGAAAAAGGGAGACGTGTTTTGTGAGAAGCCGTTCATGGAGGATGCGTAATTCCCCAGGAAGGGAACTGAGGTAACTCCTGTTTATTGTCACTCCCTGAGCCGGTCTCCAAGGCTTCTTGTCCAGGGCAATGATGCTAAAATTTATGGACCAATTACGAATAGTCCACGTGTGTCTTACATATGAAGTGTCTACAGATATGTTTCCCAGGGCTTTTAAAATAAACATTTCCTCATTAAGGAAACTTTACAACAAAAGGGAAGATAAGTATTGTCTGCTGCCTTGTGCTAGAATCTATACGTTTATTACCCCCTTAGCGCCCTGGCTCTTATCATGTGCATTTCCTGATTGTTCTCTATAGGCCCCCACTCTGTGCCCAGATTTCTGCCTGGGTGACACAGTTTTTTTGGCCAGCCTGCCAGTCATTCCACTCAGCCCAAATTGGAGTTGGCTAGTATGCAAGCTCACCAGAGAGTTGAGAGGAACCAGAACTGCCCCAGTTGGAGCAATGACTGGCCCTGCCTTCTGATTTACCTCAGGGACGTGCAATGGGGAGCGACCATAAAGTGTCCCTGTTTCCTTGGCCCTTCCCTGTGTCAGGCAGATTCACAGGTAGGTAGGAGACCTGGTGGCTCACAGCAGTTCCTGGATGTTCTTTTCTCTGATCTTTGATGTATTTGAAAAGTCATTCTTGGGCCCCAAAAGCTCTGAATAGAAGATGGTATTTTGTACTCTGAGACTGTGTCGTTATGAAAGAATGTATCATTGAAGACCTTGTGTCCCAGGAATCAAATCAGCTGAGCCCACAAAGGCCCAAGGGCAGCCTGGAATGAGGAGTCCTGGCTACATCATGGGGGTAGGGTTAAGGGGGATACTCCCCAAGGGCTCTGGGACTGGGGTGGCCAGGGATCCTAATCTGGGCCTTTAGGAGGATTGTTCTTGCTGGGATAAATGTCTGGGGCAGTTGTCACCAGGCTCAACTTCTGGATTATAGCTGGAGCAGATGACCACTGTGAAAGGGCCAGTAAATCACCAGAGGAGGTGGGTCAAATGGTCCTATCCGTACTGATTTGCCCAGGCCTAGCCCAGTGGTCGCTCAGCTGCTCCCCAGTTTCGCCCTGAGCCCTTTTCTCCTCCCTCTGGGGGTGGAGGGCAAGATCTCCCTGTGATGTGTGGTGGTTTCTGGTTGTTCACTCCCAGCACAGTCATGGAGACTCCTTTTCATGCTGCTGGGTTTAATTGTCTTGTTGGGATAAAGAAATGTTTGCACAGCTAAAGTGGGGCCGGGCTGGACGGGAGCAGTCCCTAATGGCTGCAGAGCCATCTGGCCTGGCTTGGCTTGGCTCAGCGCGCCGCTCGCCCGCCGCCCGCCCGCCCGCCCGCCCGGCGGCTGGGCTCGCTCCCGCTCCCGCTCTCTTCCCCTGTCCTCGCTCCACGCCGCGCCGCTCTGGTCGGCGGCTGCCTCCTCGCGCGGCCGGAATGCCTAATCACCATGGTGAGAAAACGGACACCGCAGCCGTCCTCCCTCCTCGCCTCGCGCCCTCCCTCCCATCAATTGTCATGCAGAAGTGATCCGGGCTGCCGTTTCCTCGCGGCCGCCAGCCAGCCCCTCGCCGCTCCCGGCAGAAGGGTGGCTGGTAATTGATCGTTTGG